CCATTCTTGTTCTATTGGTAACCCTCTTACGGAGATTTCAGGGTATCTCTCTGGGAATCTAAGTGCCCCAGCTGGCTGGTCCTTTGGGCTGGGTTTCTTTGGTAAAGATGAGTGGGGATTGCTTGTTTTTTGTTTTTTTGAGAGAAATAAGCAGGTGGCTGTGAGTCATTTTGCACAAACTGAGCCCTGTGGTTGCAGGTGAAATGAATTACTCTCCAGAGTTAATGGGCATATATGTAGCTCAGTGACTGAGTGAGACAGGTGCTAATCGATACTCATTTTTGCAAAGACAAGGTGCTTGTAACACATCAGACGCTGGTCTGGGTGCTGGGAATCCGAATGTGCAGAGGCTAGTCTCTGCCTCCGAGGAGCTCACCAACTGGCAGTGGAGGAGGATGCAGGGTATAAACACAGTTCCATGGTGGAGTGGGTGGGCTGCTCTGATGGAGGGAACAGCCAGACGACAGCTTCCCAAACAGGGTGACATTCCAGTGCGTCTAGATGGGTGAATAATTCATCAGGCAGGCAAGGAGAGAAACTCTCAGCATCTGTTTCTTGATCTGTAACTTGAGGCTAAAAACAACAGCCTTCTCACAGGAGGCAGGACAGTTTAACGGGCGAGGGTGTGGACTCTGAACAGACCTGGGTGTGACTCTTCCTCTGCCGCCAAGATTTTGGGAAAATAACAAGAACAACTAACATTTCAGCCAAAGTCCTTTTGTCTGCAAAAAAAGGGACAACAATAATGAACATACTTTAAAAGAAGACACATGTAAAGCATTTGACATGATGTTTGGCACGTTACACACCAGAAATGCTGGACTATTTACAACTGTCACTGAGCTGGCAAGGATCAAATGAGACTCGAGATGGGAGGATTTTTGAAATTAAATCACTGGGATTATTATTCCAGGCAGAGATTATCTCACGTAAAGGCAGGAAAGCTAAAGGAGTCCGATTGTTTCTTAAAAGGAGAGGCCTCGAGCATGCTCAGAGTGAAGGGTGTGTGGTGGGAAGAGGTAGCATTTGAACTGAATGATCACCTGATCAAAGGCCAAAGGTCCTGTTTTAATCAATCGGTTATGTGACCAAACGTATGAAACAGAAAAATCACAAGGGAGAAAATTATCGTGACCATAACTGTATTTGAGTTGAAGTTTAAAACGTTTTAAATAAAGACATAGTCACATAATGATAAATAACATATCCATACATAACACATTACAAAGAAAAAATTTAAATAGCAATACCAATATATCCCCCCACCCAGATTTAACAGATGTTGACATTATAGTACATTATAGTATCAGCTTCACACCTTCAGTTAAGCTTTTTTAAATAAACAATATGTTACAGATACTACTAAAGCTTTAAGCTCACTCATTTATGTGCATCCCTCCCCTGTATGTTTTCATACTTTTACTACATGCATGGTTCCATAAACAAAATATAGTATTGTTCTGAGTGTTCTTAGAATTTCAAATAAATAATGCCATACTGTATCATTTTACAACTTGTATGTTTCACTTGACATTGTTTTCAAGATGGCCCATGTTGTTGGATGTAGATAGAGTTGATTCATTTTCATTGCTGTATAGTATTCCCTTTGAGGTTTCTACTTTGGTTCAACAATGCTGCTTCTAGATGTCTCCCTTCAGGTGTGTGCAGAAGGCACTAGACTTAAATTCGCTGCAGAACTGTTCATAAAAGCAGAAAAAGGGTGGAGAAATGATCTAGTCATCTATTGCTGCATAATAAACCTCCCAATTAATGGCTTAAAATAACAATGATCGATTATACTTGTCATGCATCTTTGGTTTGGGTAGAGCTTAGCAGGGACAGCTCAAGTTTGCTTCATATGGCACCAGCTGAGGTGGATGGAAAGCTAGGGGCTGGAATCATCTAAACACTAAATCATTTGTTCACATATCTGGAGAATGTTGCTGGCCATCTATCGACTGGGGTGTTGGCTGGGGCTATCGGCCACAGTACTTACATGTGGCCTCTCTAAGTGGCTGACTGACTTCCCAAAAGCTTGGCAGTTGAGTTCCAGGAACGAGTGTCCCAAGAGAACAAGGTGGATTTGCATGGCATTCTTATCATCTAGTCTCGGAAGTTGTATGCCGTCACTGGCACCCCAGTTAATTGACGGAGGCAGTCACAAAGGTTCACCCAGGTTCAAGAGGAGTGCCACAGTTACATTTTAAGAAAACGTGGGATAGGATAGATGGTTGTGGCCACTTTTGGAAAATACAATCTGCCACCCAACCTAACTGTCCATGGTGTGGACATATATATGTCCCGTACACACAAAATACATACAAAAAATTATGACTTATTTTCTATTGCTTTAAAAGCTATAGAAGGGTGGGGATCTTTTCTCAAGACAGCAACATAACACCACACAGAATAAAAAGAATGAAGTGTTGGGAGAGTATTAATAGGGACTTTGCATTGATCTTTGTATAGGCTGAAAAGATATTACTTATAGACATGAGACTATCTTCCTCTCATAGAGAACTCTCAGGAATAGGCCCAGGGGAGAATTCATTTTTAAGGTTTTCTTTTTTCCTCATGAATGATGTGAACAAAATCTTCTGGTTCTAAAAACCAAGGACTTTAACAGAACAGTTGCAAAGCTGAATTTCCTGAAGGCATATCTTTGTTCCCTCTGGCTCCAGAAAACCCCTAGGAAAGGCTCTAGAAGTATCTTCAGGGGCACCACCAGTGGTTAAAGAGGCACCTGGAGTCAGGAAGGTTGGGTTTGAATCCTGACTCTGCCACTTGCTTTCTGTGTCACGCTAAGCACTGACATTTAACTCCTCTGAGCCTTGATTACCTTCTAAGGACAATGATGTTAATACCACCACTTACAATAATTTTGTAAACACTGTGTTAATTCACAGATTCTGCTTCGGTTTGACAAGTGCTTTAAAAGGATTGTTGTTATTAATGGTCACAGGGAAAGCAGATTCAGAAAGTTGGAAGTAACTTGCACGGAATCCAGACTTAATCATGATCACTATGCCCCAGAGTAATCCCCAGCGTTCTCCCAGCAGGCCAGATAATTAACTTCGGGCTCTCACTGCAAAGTTCTCTGACTCTATTCCCTCTCGTGTGAGAATTGAAATAGTCACAATGGGAAGCTATAGGACAGAAGGATGAGTGGTAAGGACAGGTGGCAGAGCCCTCCTGCATTCCCATTTTACAGGCAAGGAAGCTGCCGGCAGCTCCTGCAGGAAGCATGGTGGCTAAGGGAGTGACTGGAAGACCCAGCCCCAAATTCATTGTCAGTTATCTTCCCAAACCCCCAGGTTTCCCTAATAACTGCTCAATATAAAGCTCCTTCCTCCCTGGAAGGCTGGGGCTGGAGAGGCAAAAGTCATCTCCTTCTCGTGGTGAAGGGCTTGGTAGCCACAGAACCACCTGGTGTTGCTGTCTGTTACTTGTTAACAGGGTGACCTTGTGCGAATTGCTTAGTCTCTTTTGGTTTCATATTCCTTAGCTGTACATTGTGCAATGGCCACAAGATTCTTTCCTGAGGGGAACTTAGCAAAATGGCAGACCCAGGATAAGCCTCAATAAATAGAAGCTTAAACCGGGGATGGGAGAGAGTGTTCATTCCCACAGAAATGAGGGGCCCTCCATGTGTTGATGAGTTGTCTTCCTCTTCCATCAGTTCACAGGCAAAGCGCTTGAAAACTCCCAGGTCCGGAGAGTGTTAGCATTGGAGCGGAGCCCCCTGAGGTGAATCCTGGAATGGTGGACCTAGTTGCCCAAGGATGCTGCTGGCTGCCCTTCACCTCTAACCGTGTCCATCTGGGCACTCTCCTCAGCAGCTGCCCATTTTTCCTCCTTTCCCTGTGGAATCCAAGCTCACTACTGGCCAAGGGTATAGAGAAACTTAAAGTTTCTATGGCCAGGATTCTCACCTGACCCTAGTCGGCTGGCTCACTGCACAGGTGTGGACAATGCGTTATTATTGACTCTCTATAAAGTGCCCTGCCCAGCCCTGTGGGCTGCACTGCTGCAGGGGAGCAGGGGCTGGAGTGGTGGCAGCGCTGAGGGCAGAGACTGAGACGGCTGCGGGGTGGGGGGAGGCCCAGAGGCAGAGCCCGGCCCAGAGGCAGAGCCCGGCTTGCTGCATGCAGGCTCGCTCTAAGGCGGATGGGATTCTAGCGCTCCACCTGCCACGGTGGGAATCAAGCGGGGTATAAACCCTTTCACCCCACGAACGTTCAGTTGTCATTTTTCGGTCTCACCCAATCAAGAGTGAGCTTGCCTGGGGCTGAAACCCACTGACAAGACAAAGGATAAAGGCAGAACCTGGACCCGGGGATGGGGTGAGTTGCTCCAAGAAAGGAAAACGTGCTTCTGGGCCCATCGAGACTCAAATCCGTGACCCCGTTTACAAGACCAGCGCGTTGTAACCAAGAGACATGAAGCTGGCAGCTAACCGCGGGCCTATGGCGTTAGGATCCATATCCTCCTCCGGACACCTCCCCCGGTGAAAGCGGGACGTGCCTGGCCCCGGTGCCCTTTCCTCAGGCGCCGCCGCCACGGGAGCGCAGGGTGGGGCACTGCCCAGCTCCGTCCGTCTGCACCTGGTGCCTCGAACAGCTCAGCGAAGGGGATGTGCTGGAAAACGGAGGCGGGAGGGTGTGGGGGGGAGATGCCTCTCGCACCGCCCTCCTGCCCTGCTGGTCCCAGGCTGGGCTGTGCGGCGCGGACCCCGGCGCCGGCGGAGAGGCGGTGCTTTCACGTCGCGCAGCCACACGGTGGCGCTGCCGCACCGCCCGCTGGCGGCGGAGCCCGGAGCCCGGGGCCGCGACAGGTGCTCCCTCCTGCTCCCCAGCCCGGGCAGGTCCGGGAACCTGGGCGCCTGCGGGATCGCGGGCCAAGGTGAGGGCCACTCCACCATCTCCCCTCCCACGCCCCATGTACGTGCCCCCTGGGCACATTCTCGTCACACGAACCCCTGGAGCTGAGCCCCTCAGAGGTCTCGGCAAAAGTGCCCTCCTGAATTAGGAAGGCGCAAAGAATGAGGAACCCTGGCTTTAACCTCAGCTGAGAAGCCCGGGTAAGCCACACTCCGGTCCGAAAAAGGGAATAAGACAGAAGGCGGGGGAGGATTTATTCCCACAGGTGACTCATTCCCAGACCGGTCCTGGTAAGGCTGCAAGAGCGGCAGCCCTGGAAGCTGAAGTTACCGTGTTTCACGTGCGAGGAAAGGAGGCTCCCTGCTGGCCAAGGCCGCACTGGTCAGAGGTGGTGTCAGGCCCGGGACTGCGGGCTGCCAGACCTGTGAACTTCCTGCCGCTGATCCCCGCCTCCTACATCCGAGGCTTTCACACACGTTTTTGCTGTTTTATCACTGACCTACACCTACACGGGTACCTGGAACTGCAAACAACCCTTTAGTGTGATGCACTCGTTTTTGTTGTTTGTTTTTTAGTCTATACTATGTCTTTTCTACCTTTTTTTTTCAATGCTGGTATGATGTGCTAAAAATGGTATCGCTATCACTACTGGGTCCTTAAATTTGTGGAACACTGTCATAGGTCATAGGTGACTGGGCTCTTCCAGCTGTAAAAAAATCAATGCCCAGCAGTCTATGTAGGAGGCCAAAGTCAAGACCAGGTAAAGGAGCCGGGAGACTGCTACTCCACGAATCACCTGGAGATGTGATTCTGTCTCAGTAGGTCTGGGGTGGGACCTGAGTCCAGCATTTCTAACAAGCTCCTGGGTGATGCTGACCACCCCATACTCAGGGCCAGGAATCCTCTGCTTCCTCACCATCAAGTATGTTACAATGAAAGCAGTTTTGAGACCGAATTCTTACATATTCACATGCATATTAGTAAGTAAGCACAATACTGGATTCAGCCTGTGCTTGTAAAGCCCCAACTCTTGGTCCTTGTAGGCTCTTTAATAAGAACTTTCCAGAAGGGTTCTGTGGCAGTGGCCAAAATCCACTGTCTCTTTCTTTCATTGGTAATAGAACTGAAACTAGACAGATGCTCTTGAGCCAGAGATCTGACTCCTAGGCTTCCTCCACCCAGGGTGAGGAACTTCCGGGCGAAGTCTGAGCCAGTGGAATATGAGCAGAAGTGATATTTGCAACTCCCAGGTGATCTCCTTGGGGACAGCCCAACTTATCCAGCTGAAAAGACAACCTAAAACTCATAGTCCAGCTGTGTGTACCTGAGTTTCCTCCTTTTCCCTTCCTACAGGTAGGAAAGTGAAGATCCTGTATGTCAGCTGACCCTGAAGGCAACGCCCCGGGGAATGACAGAGCACCAAGGTGGAAGGAGCCTGGATCCCTGAATCACTGCACAGAGCAGAGCTGCCCTGTCACCTAATGATGTTATCTGAGAGCATCATCAACTTCTTTAAGCCGCTGCTTTGGTTTGGTTTGGCTTGGTGGGGGCCTGTCTGTTACAACAGCGTACCCGGATTAACCTAGGTTCATCTGAGGCATATACTATAATGTTCTTGTGGCAGAACCAACTAACTTTTTCATCCGAGTAGGTGACAGTCCCCTAAGTGTGTGTGTGTGTGTGTGTGTGTGTGTTCAGGTAGAAGGGCTGAGGGAGATTCTAATGCTATGTTCTTGCAAGATGGAGCTATGCCTATATGTGTGTCTTTCCAGCTGTCTACATAACATTAACACCACTTGTTTAGCCTACAAAAATATTTGTAATCATTCTTAATTATACTCTCAGGGGAAGTTTGAGAAAGCGATATTTGGAACTCAGGGTCCTTCACACATTCGGGGCCCTGCTCCCTTACTCAGCATGCTGCCCGAAAGCCTCTTTCTTCTACTAATTAGCCTCCTCCACCTTGGTCATCACTTAACTTACACATGCATGTACCTCCTGTATCTGGCCTGAAATATTTTTAAGTAAAGACAGACAAATTTTACCCTGTGTATTTTCACTGGGAGTATTGTAATAGTCTAAGTGGCTATTCACCTCCCTTCCCATCATTTCTTTATTATATAAAAGAAATTTGTCTTACACACTGTTTCACAATTGATGGAAATCTACTTTCCCAGACCCCACATCTCCCACAGTCCTCTGGGGGAGGGCCTACCTGTATCTTTACCCCTCATACTCCAAGAGCTTGCTTCTCCTGACTTCTCCGGATCCCCTTTGGATTCTGTGCCGGTGATTGTCGCCTATCTCTGACCCACGTCAACACAGAAGTCACTTTTAGTGAGGTCTGCTGGGTAATGGGGTTGGTGTGGGGTTACAGTGAAGTGGCTGTCGCTGATTATTTAAAAGTCAGTATTAGACATCCTCATTTGCAGAGGCCCTTCAGCCACCCTGACTTCAGGATATTTTTCGTGTAGGGGCTCCTCTGGCTACCTTCTGAAACCCCTGGGTGTTTCCTCTCTTGGGCTCCTTGTATTTTACAGCTGCTTCTTTCCACTATTCCACTCCCTCTGCTCCCTGGCCCCTTATCCAGTAAAGAAACCAAGTGGCCCTGATGTGTTAAAAACTTTCAACCACCCCATTGCCCTAGTCCTTTATTCAGTACTCTGCCCTAAGTCCCCTCTTTTCTTATCACCTGGGCCAGAGGGAGTTTTGCTTAACTCCAACACATAGACACATAAATAAACCCACAGAAATGTTCCCTTCCTGTCTAGCCAGCTCATAAAATAACTTCTTTCCTCTCCCCAGCTACACACAGATCTGATCAAGGTATTCCTTTGCTTAAATCTCTGCAGTAGCTCTTTGCTAGCCCGTCCTCATCTCCATCGCCATGGTTACTAAGCCCCTGGGGACTGGGTCCTGCCCCCTCCATTTCAGCCTAATATCTCACTGCTTTGCCCACACACCTCCTGCACCACGTCTGCCCAGTCACTCAGAGGCCTCTGAATGGGGCCAGCTCAGCCAGCTCACCTTCATTCCTTTGCTTTCCTCCCTGACTCTGCCTGGACTGCCTCTCCCTTAACTCTGCCTGGTGGCTGCTGCCTCACCTCCTCTAGGAAGCCCTCCCTGACTTCTTAGGCTGGGGAACTGCTCCTTCTCTGTTAACCCCTCTGGACTGTCTATCCTAGCACTTAAAACTCATCTCAGGAATTTTAGCTTTACTTGTCTCTGTCCCCCACTAGATGGAACTCCTTAAGGGCAGGAGTATATCCAGCATGGTTTTGTACCCTAAAGATGAGGACATAGGATGCCTTCTGTGCCCATTTGGTAAATGACCAGCTGAATGTGTGAGACCAGACTGAAATAAAGGACAGCCTGAAAAGGGTGAAGAAGGGAAAGGAGGGCCTGAGAAGCAGCATGCCGGTACAGGGCTGTGGAGAAGGGGGCCACTCTGGGCAGCAGGTCCAGAGTCAGTCAAGATGGTCAGTGACTCCAAGCCTTTAGTTGTCTTCAAAACCGGGGTTTTGAAGACCCGTATCCTCTTCCTTCTTCTTCTGTGAGACAGCTCTAGGTGTTTTCACCCCACTCCCCCTCCAGCGCCAGTCACTGAGTGCTAACTATGCCTGTCTTCGGAAGAACAGAAACTGGAAGCGGGTTTACCCTGACCTCAGTTTCCCAGAAGGGGTCCCCTAACAGCTCAGGTGACCATGGGGTCCCTTTAGCAGAGGGGGCAGGGCATTCCAAGGTCGCTGACTGTCTATGTACAGACATCACTGTCCTGGCCCTTCTCCAAACCTATTCACCCCAAGATTATGTCCTCTCTCGGAGGGGCTGTGTCGGTCAGGATGTGCTAGGTCAGATCATGGGATTTAAAACCACAGGGCATTTAAAACCACAATGAAGTATTTCTAGGTCCCATGGCATGCCGTTAGGAGTCAGCAGAAAGACCAAATCATTGTAGTTAGTGATGGAGAGCCACCATCTCAAGTTAGTTCTTCAAGAGAGCTCTAGAGGGTCCCACACTGGCAATGAAATGCCTGGCCTGGGAGTGACTTGTTTTACTTCTACTCACAGCTCATTGGCCAGAGCTAGTCAGAGGGCCACACCCCCCACAGTGGGCCCTGGGAGTGCAACCCCCCCAGAAGATGGGGACCTAGAAATCCTTGTATACTGAAGTAATGACTACTGTAAGGGGTGAGGAAAAGAAAGTCTAAAAAAAGGGCAAAAAGGGAAAATGCAGGCTTTCAGAGAAACAGGAAAATCTGATTGCCCTTGAAACAGCTCCCCTGAATACAGCAATGCAACTCCAAGCATGAATCCAGGCTTAATGAATTTGGAGGAGAGGATGCTCACTGGGCACCCATAGTCTCATTAATTTTTTTTTCTATTGACTATATTTTGAAATGATAATATTTCAGATCTATTGCACGAAGTGAAATTTATTATTTAAAATAATTTAATGGTCTCCTTTTACTTTTTAAGAATGTGGCTACTAGGAAATTTAAGACTACGTATGTGGCCTGAAGAACATTTCCATGAACCAGCGTGGCTCCGGAAGCTGAGGGCAGGATTTGGGTAAGGTCACCTACTTTCAAGGTGCCATTTCCCAAGCAGCAGATTGTAACATTTGATCAAGCCCTACTTTGGCAAAGTTCTTATAAGGATGGTGTTTCAAGTTTGGGGCATTTTTGTTTCTCTTTATTCACCTTTCTGTTTTTCTTCCAAACGGATCTCCAAATCTTAACTAAATGGCAATTGCTGCTCACACACACACACACACATTTTCCAACATTTTCCCCTGTGTAAAGTGAACATGCCTGATTGCTGGATTAAGCAAAGGAAATTAATTATTACAGTAATTATTCGGCCACTAAATATTTGAATGCCAGACCTGACACAGCTGTCCTGGGGGCCACCTTCAGCTTCCTGAATGCATTAGTATTGACAGAGCAGCTCAAGCCAATGTATTTTTTTATAGGGGAAAGCGTGAATGCAGTCCCCCACTACCACAAATTATGCAGTTGAGTTTCCCACGTTTGGGGAAGTCGTAGGAGTCAGCACGTCCGGAGTGCAGGGGATCAGCCTCGCCCCAGGGAAACCACCTTCCTGATCATGGCATCTCCCCTGCCAGGTAAGTGTCAAGCCAGTGTGTTTTAAAAATCCTTTTTTCTGCTGCATTTTGCTGGTGTGAACCAGGTACACTTGCTGGGGGCAGTATGGGCTGTACACCTTATGCCACAGGAATAAAAGACAGCTGGCTTCTGGCACCCATCTCTCCAGGCCAGGAGAACATCAAATGCTTGAAAATGAGAATCTTCAGTCTTCAGGGTGGCCATTCAGCAGAGTCAGGATATGTGCAGTGTGAATACGCTAGTTGGATAATGGTAGAAACCACAGTGTAGCTGTTGGAACAGACTCACAACTAGCCCTCAACCCTGAGGCAGGGATCTGTCCCTGGGAATTCTAAAGCTGCAGAAGCCGTGCCAAGGCACCTGTGGGCAGTCCCACTGAATTCCTTCTAGATCATCCTTCCATTTTCTCTCGCCATTGTGCCCTTGGCAATGGAGTCCCCAGCAGGTATCACCTGCCATCTTTCCTGCCGAGTCTGTTCAGGGTGGAGAAGAGATTTCCTTTAGTGAACAGATGCAGGTCAAGACCAAGGCTTTCAAAAAGCTGCCATCTGGGTGATTCTCCAGCAAGAAAAGATGTCCCACCTGCTTGTCACTTGTCTGTCCATTTTTTTCTGCCGTGGGGCTCTGCCTTCATTCAGGAAGCGTGTGATGGCTGACGGAGCTAAAGGTGGTCCAGACAGTTCCAAGCATGGATTTACAGGAAGAAAAACATTTCAACTGCTTGTTCTTTTGCACCATGAGGTAGGGTTTGAGCTCAACGGCATGGAGATGTCTGCACAACTTTTTGCACTTTTTTTTTGTAAGTCATCCAATTAAACCATTTTAGGAAATCTGAGGTCACCAGGTAATTCTCCCTGACACAATCCTATTGCTCCTGCTTTAAAACTGTCAGTTCAACTCAGAAAACTCTTAGGCCACATGTCAGAGAGTATTGAAGGCAGTGGCTCCACTGCAAGCCTGAAATGTGTCCAGATGTCCAAAAGGTTGGCCTACCTCATCCAGAGTTTTCATTCTGTAGGTCAAAACCAGAGTGGTTTTGATTTTCTCCAAAAGGATGAGTCCTCCAAGCAAATACACAAACCCAAATATACAATGTTACAGCAAATGATTTCTGTTTCTCTTGAAAAGTATCATCATCTATTAATAAATACAAATTAATAATAAGAATAGCAGCTGTATGCAGCACTTCATTTTCAGGTACTGTGTTAAACATTTTAGAATATCATTTTATTTAATCCTTATACATTAATTCAAAATATACTTATTGAAAGACTGTGGTCTTGACTAGTCGCTCCTTCATGCAGCTCCCATCCCATTCTGTTACCATAGAAACATTGGAGGTGGACACAGAACAGTGCCCTGTACCGCTTCCCCTCTGTCCACCTCTGATGGCAGCTGTGGCTGGGATGGACAACCCCCCAACCTCCAGTGGCTTTGGATTTGGGGAAGGAAGGGTGGGAGAAGCCTTGTCCCACAAGTAGGTGCAGCCTGGAAGAGCAGAGAAGTTTGCCTCACAGGATGGGGATGGAGGTGGCAGAGAAATATCAGGCCTTTTACCCTTCAGAGAACACCTCCCATGCAGTTCCCCCAAGGCTCCCCAATAGGCGTGAGCCCCAACTGCCTGACAGGGCTTAATAAGGCCCCCTTATTGAGCTTTTCTCCCCCTCTGCCCCCGCTCACTGTTGCTTCCCTTCTGCTTCCTAGATCACCTCCCAAATTAACTACCTGTACTTACATCCTAGTCTCAGACTCTTGTGTAAGGGCACTCAAACTGGACTATTACCCCCATTTTACAGATGTGGATATAGAGGCAAATTACCTTAAAGTCTCACAGCCATGAGACGCAGAGCGAGGACTCACACAAGGTTTTTCTGACCCAAGAGCCCATGGCTCAATGTCTGTCTGCCTCCGCCAAATGCCTTTGTGCTGCCCCAGTAAAACTAGGACTTGTTCTGATGAACTGCTGACCCCTACTGGTCCTGTACAGGGCTGCCCATTCCAGCACGGGGCAGCTCTAATGATTAGAAAGTTCTGGTTCATATTCAGCTGGTTCAACATCCATCCATCCATTCACACGTAGGTACTCTTCATCAGCAAGCCCGTATTCCTCAGTGCCAGGCACTGTGCTCTGAGAAGGCAGACCTGGGCCCTTGGCTCAGGGACCCTCCTCCCTGCACTGGTGAGCACTGTGCAGGGGCGGGTGCTGGCAGGGTGCTGTGGGAATATGGGGTGAGCACCTCACCCAGCCAAGCTGCCCTACCTAGCATCCTAGAAAAGGATGGTCCCCTGTCCATTCAGCAGCCCTGCAGAGAATGGCTGCAGATATCATACCCCCATCAGCCCGCCTTTCGATGGGCCTTCAGAGCCGAATGGAGCCCATACCCCCAATGCAGTCAAATGAAAACCCGATACAGTGTGCACTCCCGTAGTGGGAGAAGAGACCCAGCCCTCGGCAGGGAGTATGGAAACCATGGCTGAATCCTTGAACCTGTGCCCGAGGTCAGCCTTTGCAAGATCCCACTGGCTTCTGCTGGACTCATCCATGCCCCCTACTCTGTAGCTTTCCTTCCATCAGAAAATGTTGATGGCACAGGCCTAAGATGAATGAATAGATCCTAGGGAGCTAAAAACAATATTACATTATATTCCATTTTTCCCTTGTGTTGCAACTGATACATGAGGTAGTAATTTACATGGCCAATTAGTGGGTAGAAGTCTTTGGAGTCTGCCTTATAAAAAAAAAATAGGTTGTGAAACTGCTAAACTCATCTGCTTTCCTAGATCTCAGAAGGTCTCAGGGCATTGGTTGCTGCAGCAGGGTGGAATGGCTCAAAAGCAGCCATAGAAGTAGCTGTTTTCATATGGCTCTCCCTGCAACATGAATGAATGCTAAAGATTTTATTCTCCCTCTGATCTACTAAGTTCTCATTTGGATTTTTCCTTGGTAAATAACATTTTGAGGAGTGGAATTGTAGATACTCCTTTCTAGAAGTCCTGGAAAGGCAAAGCTCAGGGTCCTGGGAAATCAAGCTATAATCTAGAACCACCTGTCCATCCATACAACCCATCCTCCTTCCCTGCCCCCAACCTTTCCTGGTGATACCAAATCCACAGGCTTTATCTCCTCTGCTCTGAAGGGCAAGGGGTAGGAATCAACTTGAATCTCAGAAAATCCCATCCATACATACATCTCTCTCACCTTCCATTTATTAATTTGTTCAATAAATATTAAGCACCTACAACATGTCAGGAGCTGGGTTAGAGGCTGTGCTGAGTTGTGAGGCACTGCAGCTAATAAGGGAGTCAGATCTGTTCCAATGGGACTTATAGTCTAGCAGGGAATAGACAGTGTGCAAATAATTTTGTAAATAACTACTTAAAATCATGATCATTGTCCCTAAAGAGAGTAAGAGGTGCTATGTGAGCCTCTAACAAGAAGGACCTAACCTAGCCCCAGGGAGGTGACATTCAAACTAAGAGAGAGTGTAGGAGGTAGATATTAACAAGGTAAAGAAGGAAAGTGGGGGGTGGGGAGGGATGATTTAGGAGGGAAGGGTCTGCAAAGGGCACCAGGACAGGGGTATTACTTCAAGGGGCCACATAGAGAACAAAGGGAGCAGGGGGTTGTGGAGTTGGATGACTTAGAAAAGAAGCCGTGGGTCCCCAGTGCAGGACTTAGGAGAAAAATGGGAAGCCCCATAGAAGAGTTAAGCATGTGATGATGGTGTCAGATCTGTGTTCTAAGAGCTCACGCCACTAACAGTTATCTGGAGAGTGGGCTCCAGAGGAGAGTGAAGTGAGGCCTGTGGGGTGGGGGACAGCTGCAGGGAGAGCTGCTAGGATCCCCATGTGTGTCCAGGGAGAGGTCACTGTGACCTGGACTGGAATGAGTGCAGTGGGACGAAGAGGAGCGGGAAGTTCAATGTGCGTTTTGGAAAGCACAGTAGGGTGCCTGGGCGCCCTGTGGGAGTCTGTTGGGGCCCTCTGGACATGTTTCAGTCTCAGAGCTAAGCCAGACCCTCCACAGCTCTCCTCCTCGTTCTGATCCATGGCTGCAGGAGGGTCTGTGGGGTCAAAGGGAGATGACTCTGGCTGCTCTACCTTCCGCCCACCCCTCCTTGTGTTTCTTCTGGGATTGTGGTGTGCCAGCAATGAAGCTGTTCTCTATTTGCTTCTGTGGGCCAAGTAACTACGGAAAGTGTGCATTTAGGATCTTTTTGCACACTTCTCTCTTTTTCTGCACACTATAGCAATTGACCAGTCTCCTGTGTATAGAGTCAACATTCAATCAGTGCATGGGAACTGAGCCTTCTCTACAAGCCCAGGCAAAGTGGGAGCCAGATGCATTCTCACCTCCACCTGTTACTATTTCACATCAGCCTTCAAGTCAGCTGAGCAGCTATACACACTACGGAATGGGAAGATGGGAGTTGTAAGTTCCCTATGCCCTAGAATAGGAAATTGGAAAAGCCACATCATCATTCCATCCCTGAATACAAGAATGACCAAAAATGGCATCACAAGGTGAAATGGCTGAGCTTTCTTAATATCTTATAATTATAATTCATAGAATACACCCTCTTTCCCTCTTGTCTACTTGGCTTGTATACCACCACTCTGTCCTGTGCTCATGGCAGCCATCACTAATCAATCATGATATGTTCCTCAATCTGAACCTTCAAGAACATTTATTTAATATAATGCTTCAGGCTTTTCAGTTGACTGAAGTTGGTACAGAATATTAAACCTATTTGCCATCCCTGTTCTTGACTTTTAATTAAAATAGCCAGCCTAAGAGACCCTTCAAGCAACCATTTGGTTGAGGTCCCAAGCAGGTGGTTGTCAATTCCTCCAGATGCTCACATCTTACTCCAGTGCCCATCCTGCCCTGGCTTATCCTGAACATAGATTCTTTCTCACCATTTACCTGAGCTATCTCCTGCATGCTTTTCAGAGAAAGATCTACAGAACTATGAGGACACAAGGAACTTGAGATCTTCTCAACCTTCCACGCTGGTCTTTTGTTTGGAAATCATTGCCCTTAAGGTGTCTCTGTCCCTAATAGAACTGAGTATACATTATAACAATAGTAACAAAGCAAATGACTCAGACCTTAGGGTTTCTTAGTGTAATGGTAGAAAGTTTACCATGATTGGGCCTGTGCACATATTGACCACAAGACAGGGCCATTCTGTAGCTTCTC